CAGACAGGCAGGTAGGCAGGCAGCTGAAAAAAACCCCCTCTGGGGTCCTTGGGTCCTTCCTGGGTCTGTTGTCGCGCAGGCCGGGAGCTCACGCGCACGCCGCCGGGTGATCGCAGACAGGCAGGTAGGCAGGCAGCTGAAACAAACCCCCTCTGGGGTCCTTGGGTCCTTCCTGGGTCTGTTGTCGCGCAGGCCGGGAGCTCACGCGCACGCCGCCGGGTGATCGCAGACAGGCAGGTAGGCAGGCAGCTGAAAAAAACCCCCTCTGGGGTCCTTGGGTCCTTCCTGGGTCTGTTGTCGCGCAGGCCGGGAGCTCACGCGCACGCCGCCGGGTGATCGCAGACAGGCAGGTAGGCAGGCAGCTGAAAAAAACCCCCTCTGGGGTCCTTGGGTCCTTCCTGGGTCTGTTGTCGCGCAGGCCGGGAGCTCACGCGCACGTATACATTTATTTTTGTATAATAGAAATCGTGTGATACTCAAGCTTGTGTGTCAGTTTCTTCGCCTAATATTATGGTCTCAATGTAAATCCACTTTCTTACAAATGACTCAAGTTTATCCATTTTGTGGCAGAATAGTCCTTCTTTGTGTACAAATGCTACATCACATTTATCCATTTGATATGTTGATAGGCATATAGGCTGTTTCCTAGATTAGCTATTATGAACTGTGCTGCTATATATACATGGGTATGCATACATCACTGTGGTATGATATCTTTAACACTGTTTTGAAGATATATAGTAGGCCAATAGCAGGATCAAACTGAATTTATACTTCTGCCTTTATGAACACTCTCCATACTGATTTTCATAGTGGCTATATCAGTTTATAATATCCCCACTAACTGAAAAGTGTTCCTTTTTCCCCTCAGCCTCTCTAGTATTTCTTATTAGTTGATTTCTTGATGGTAGCCATTCTTTCTATAGTAAGGTAAAATCTTGGTATTGAGCTAATTTGTATTTCTAGACTGGTCAAACATTTTTTCATATATTTATTGGTCATTTGTATTTCTTTGTCTAAGAAATGTCTATTCATTTCAGATGCCCAGCTTTTAATTGGTTCTTTGAATTTGAGAGGTCTAATATTTTTTTAGTTCTTTATACCATCCAGATATACTCCTTTGTCTGAGGAGAGGTTGGAAAACTTTTTTCCCATTCTGCAGGTTGTCTCTTCACTCTGCTAAGTTTCCTTTGCTGTGCACAGCTTCTGCTGACTCTAACTCCTGGGTTATCTCTGCTGCTTCCCAGGTCCTTTATGACCATATCAATAATATTCTGTAGTCCATGACCATTCATGTATCAGCCTCCCCATCCTAACTTATCTGATCTGCTTCTCTGTCAGTAACTGTTACTCAGGAGCCTTAATTTCTAATGATGATCTCAGGGAACAAGCAAAGGCAAGCACTGCGACCTTGCCTGTGAGTCCTGAAAACTAAAGGACAAAGTCTGTCTTAGTGCCATTAGCCGCTTACCGTGGTCTGACTTCCTTTCTTCTGGTGTATTTTCTGATCTAATGCTAATTAACTCATATACATATTTTAAAATGCAGAGAATTTACTACAAAGTGATGCTCTCCCTGAACTCATTCTCCAGGCCAAAATGATCTAATGCTAATTAACTCATATACATATTTTAAAATGCAGAGAATTTACTACAAAGTGATGCTCTCCCTGAACTCATTCTCAACAGGCCAATACTTGCCACCCTTGTCAGTGTTATTTCTCTTATTACCTTTTGCATTGAATGAAGAGCTTGTATTTCTGTTTTTAAGGAAAGATATGAAGTGGACTGACTTTCCTTATAAATGTAGCATTTAGCATATATCAGGTAATATTTTTCTTCTCATCAATTAAGGAATTTTATTCCTTTTCATTTTGTATTGATATTCAGAACAGTGTCTTTCCTGTAGTTCTCTTTTTGTGCCTTATGCTTCAAGCAAGTTTATTATCATTTTAGTAATAACATTAGAATACATTTTTTCAATTAATAAATAAATTTACAACAGATTAACTTTGTAAATATTTATGAAACACCTGTCGATAGGTAGATTTTTGTTTCTAAAGAATTCAGATGTTAAATTCCTAACTACAAAGCATCTTTGAGTATGAATTTATCTGGAGTTGAATCATTTAAGGAATTAGTTAATTTTAAGTGAAGCTAGCAATTTAGGTTGACTATTATGTATTTTGATGAGTGTGTGTGTGTGTGTGTGTGTGTGTGTGTGTGTGTGTGTGTGTCACTAGAGACTGAATCCAGAAGGCATATGGGCTGTGTTGCAACTATTCGATTCTTGGGGCTGGGGATTTAGCTCAGTGGTTCTGCCACCTACCTCCCAACTATTTGATTCTCTTGGAATGTCATGTTGAAACAGCCACAGATGATATGTAATACATAATATGCAATATGTAAATAAAAGGTCAGGCATGTGTATACCTTTATTTACATTTCTATCTATATCTACATCTGTGTTAGAGTTTAACTTTACGCAATCATTTATAATCTTGTGAGGTTCTACTTCCAGGAATGAACCTTTGTAGAAATAGAAACACAAAAGGAAGGAATCCTGACTCTCCACACTATCCTGAGGAAAACTACTTTTGTCCACCTCAGTTACACTCACTAAGTCTTTCTTGAGAGTCAATTTAAGGAACTTTCTCTGCTGCCACTGAGGCTGATTCTTCTTAAAGGAGCCAACAAAGAAGCTAGTGAAGGGCTTGGCACTGCTGTTGATACAGAGCAATGATATTTATTTAACAAATAAAGTCTCTGGTATTTATGAACCAGAGCAACAGGGACACAAGGATGCCTACAGGCAGGCCACAGAGGAGAAAGAGCAGCACTGTGAGCCTGATGGTCACATGCAGACTGGTCAGTCTCGACCTCATGGAGGCACAGAGCATACTGACCAGCAAGGCCAGGCTGCATCCACACAGAACCACAAATAACAAGATCAGCCATGCAACAGAGATGAAAGACACTGTTGGACATGGATAACAGGAAGACTTAAAGGAGAAGTAATAGTATATATGTAGCAGGATGCTCAGTAACAAGGACAAGGCCCAGAGTAGGGCACATATCACAGCTGACATATGTTTTGGGCAGCAGTGTCTGTGTCAGATGGGCCAGCATTCAGCATGCTCAGGCCAGTGATGTAGGAGCACATAATCATAGGAAATAAGAACTTGTGAATTTTGATACAGGTGAAATCGAAGGCATGAGCAAGAACCGTTCACAGAACCAGCAAAGTGGCATCCTATGAAGAGAAAGTCAACTCCTCTAGGCTGAGGATGTAGACTGAGACCACGTTCATGCACATGCAGAAGCCCAGGAGCCAGAGCACAACTGTGTTTCCTGCCAGCCCAACCAGAGTGAAAATAATATTCAGCAACTCTGAGATCAGTGTTATCATTGTCAAAGCGGGAATTCAGAGCACTCATACTTTTGTGATTTCTTGTTCAATGGTTGAACTTAAGGAAAGACTTTCTCAGGCTGCTTGACACCAGAGAACTCTTCTCTGTCCTCTAATTTAGGAGCTGCCCGTAGGACCTGGAGAACAAGTGCCCTTTATCAAGAAGCTGTACAGCCCAAGTGATTTCCTTCATAAGGATGGTGGGAAAATCAATAAGAGAGGATTTTGATACATGCACTCTTACTTCACATACACTTAGTTCTGGGCATCTGTCCAATTGCCACTCAAAATCAACTTCTCTCATTATCTTATGTGGTTTATGTTCCTGTAAGTAATTGCTATCCTGAAGCCTTTAATTGCCAACTCTGAACCGAGGCAGCCGCAATCTCCAGCATAGTGAAATGGCTTATGGAGCTTTATGAATAAAGAATGAGGTATATCCCAGGGTCGTGGAAGTCTTGTTATGTCTTAAGTTTTCTTTCATGTCGTCTTTATTTAGCACTAATTCATTAATACAAATGCTTTAAGTCTAAATGACACCTAGGTAAAAGTCTGCCTGAATCCCATTCTGCACAGGCCACCTGTTCTATGATCTCCATTTTTATTTGTTATTATCTCACAATATTAAGTTTTTCAAAATTCATTAATCTTATTGATACATTTTGGGTGTACAATATGCTGACATACATCATTGGGAATTTGTACCTTTATACAGTATATCTTGGTTCTTGTTTTTCCCCCATTTCCCTGCCTTCCTTCAACCCCTTCTTCCTTCCCTGTCTATATTAAATCAATATTTCTGTTTTATTCTCCATATTAACAGATGGATCAAATGAATTCCACTGCAAATTATGAAAAGTTCAAATCACATAACATACTCTTACTTCTCCCTTCTTTTTATCCTTCTGGAGAATTAGTACAGGTACAAAATACTGTTTTGGTTTTTTTAATTAAGTTTATTGGTACATGTTGGATATACATAATGAGCACATTAATCATAGGGAAATTGTACCTGTACAAGATGCATCTTCTTTATTTCCCATTTCCCTAGCTTCTCCTTATTTACTAAATTTTGTTTTCATTTTTCCTTCTTTTCTCCTTTTCTTTCCTTTCCTCTGACCCCCTTCCTAGTTCCCCTACCCACTGGAACATTTTCTTCCTCTGTCATAATACCTAGTTTACATTTTGGTCTTCATTTATTCCCATTCTTTCCCCTCCCTTCTTTGACTTCCTTCCATCTCTTGATCCTCGTCCCATTTACAAAAGATTTATCTCCAGATTTTCTATTACCTATACTTTAACTTGCTCTTTATTTACATTTTGTGTTTCTCATGCAAGAGAGTAGCATTCCATTATGTAGAAATAGCACACTTTGTTTACCCACTCATCCGTTCATTCATTGGTACAGAGGATGCTTCCAATATTTAGCTATTATGAACGATGCCATTACAAACTTGTATCTCTGTAATATGATGTTGTTAAGTCTTTCAGGAAGATCCCTAGAAGGGAAATAGGTTTCTTGTAGATGAAGTAGGTAATGGGGATGGTCATTAGTTTAATTTAATCATGTCCCATAATATACACACAACAAAACTTCACAACCAAGTAAATAGATATAATCATGATGTCTTGACCAAAAATGGGACAAATGGGACAAATTGTTTGTTTTCTGGAATCACAATGCTAATTTCCATAGTTGTTCTAGTTTACTATCCCACCAGCGTTATAGAAGGTTTCCAATGTCTTTCAGATTATAATCTACTTAAATATTCAGAAAAGTTCTTCAATAGATGGATTCATTCTGAAGATATTTTATAAGTAACTTGTAATGAACTGGATTTTTTCTAAATGCACATGTAGAAATCCTACGTACATCAGAATATGACAGGATTTAGAAATGAGGTGAGGACTGTATATAAAGTTAAGATGAGCTCATTAGGCTGAGTCCTAATGCAGTATGATGGGTGTCCTCATACGAGGAGATGGTGACATAGATACACAGAGGGAAGCCAAGGGGAGAGACACCATCAACATTAGAAAGGGAAAGATCTCAGAAGGAAAGCCCCTCCCATGCCATAATCTCAGATTTCCACCATCCTGAACAGTGATAAAATAAAATTCTGCTGTTTCTGCTCCAAGTCAGTGCTTCTTTGTTATGGAATACATACTTAAAAATAGGACTACTCTCAGCAAATAAATATAGGAAAAAATGCTCAGCACCACGGGTCATTCCAAATGGAAACAACACTGAGATATCATCTTACAGCAGAATGAATGGCTGCTATCAAGAAATCAACCAATAACAAATGCTGAGGGGATGTGGGGAGAAAGGAACCCATCTTCATTATTCGTGGGAGTACAGACTGGTGCAACCACTGTAGAAATCAATAAGGAGGCACCTCAAACAACCAGGATTAGAAGTCCCATATGACTGAGCTGTTCCTCTGCTGGTTACCTTCCCAAAAGAATTAAAAGAATCATACCACAGCGATACATGCTTACCCATGTTTATACTGGCACAGTTTGTAATAGGCAAAATTTGGAACTAGCTCAATTGCCCTTCAACAGGATACTGGATAAAGTTTCTTTTTTTTTAAATAATGGGATACTACTCTGCTAGAACAAATGAGAAAATAGATTTATAGCTAAGTGGATGGGCATTGAGGCCACATTTTTAAGTTAATTAATAAGTCACACATATGTACAGACTCAACAGATTATCTGGTGTGAAAAACTAAAAGTGTAAAGAAGGATAAAAATGTATAATTGATATTGTGTAATAGGAAGAAAAGGTATAAAAGAGTAGAGGAAGTGGGAGGTAGCAGAAAGGTAAAAATGGAAAAGAAAATTATGTGAAAGTAAAAACATGGAAACAAAGTTTTTGTAAAGTGAAGGGTGGAGGGGCTAAAGGGAGGGCTGGGGACTGGGGAAAAATAAGAATGAAGGTAAGTCATGTAAAGGAACAAGATCCCAGTGATGAATGTAACTGTTTTGCATACCTAAAATGTACCAATAAATTTAATAAAGATTAAAAAATAGGGACTACTCCACAATAGGCATTATTTCAGGCACTGGATTTTCCGGGTGAACAATACCATTCTGAGCAAGACCATTTTGAGATATTCTGCAAAATTTGTGTAAAGTCCTTTAGAAAAGAAACAGAGACTGAAAAGAGAGGTCTTCATGTGTGAAAAAATCTGACGTTTTCATCTTCATAAATCTGGAGTATGAGCTGGATTCAGGAAAACATACATAGAGGAAGCAAGTGAGAGATCAAATATGTCAGAGTTATACACAAATGCATATGAGAGCTTACTATATGATAATGTCTACATGCCAATGCAGTGAGTAAAACATGAGCAAGGGCAGGTATTGAGGAAAGGAAAAAAAAAGTAGAGGTTGGTATTCCAGAATTCCACATGATGGAGCCTTTGTCCAGTGGGCAGTAACAGTAGCTGCTGTACTGCGGAGAAATTGACCTTTAGTTTAAAAGTGTGTAGTCTTTGCTGGCCTTGTTAATGCAGTTGATGACCAAGGGTGATTTGTATTTTTTTCTGGACTGTATGTGGAGACTCAAGTGATACATTTTGGTACATATATTTCAATTTATACATTGTATAAAACTCTTCTGCATTTTGAAAAACAGTTAAATATCCACTTAGCTTACAAACCAGCAGCTCACCCCTAACATTTATCCAAGAGAACAATAAATGCAACAAGCCAGGAGCAGAGTGAAGTACTTCATCATCTACCTTAGAAGGGGAATCTGAGAGAGTTGAACTCATAGAAGAGAGCAGATCCATGTTTTCTAAATCTAGGTGTGGTGAGGTGGAGAGGGAGGAAAGCTGAGTTGTTGCTCAAAGGTTACAAAGTTTCAGATGGAAGAATAGATTTTGAAATCTGTTTTACAATAGGATTACTATAGTCAAACACAAGGTATAAAATATTTCAAAATAATTATGAGAGGAAGTCTGGCATGTCTCATCATAGGTGAAGTAATTGATAGGTTCATTAGTTTAATTAATCATGTCCCACTGTATACACATAGCAAAACTTCACATCCAACTAAATAGATATAATCACGATTTCTTGACCAAAAATATATTTTAAAATTTTGTACAGAAATACTTGTAATAGGTTTATTTAGTATAGACAAATGGGAAGGAACAAAATTTTTTTCTCTAATGAGTAGTAAAACAAAAGATGGATCATCCATACAATAAAATACTACTTAAAAATTTTAGAATATCATTGGGAAAGTAGTGATAATGATAGCTTAACAATGTATCTTGAAGATACTCTTAAAAAATGAACTCAACATGTTAGACCCTGAACCTGTTTATACAATATTTTTAATATGATGAAATCATACAGATGGGGTCAAGAAAGGTTAGTGTTGAACAAGGCTTTTGGAAGTGAGATGGTAAAAGGTTTCCATAAAAGGTAGCCCAAGACAATTTTCGTGGTAAAGTTACAGTTCAATATCTTTGAATGTGGCAGAGGTTATTCGAATCCATATATGTGACACAATGTCTTGGTTTATACACAAATTCATATCTTCAACTCCAAACTATAAGTATATACATAAAACCTGATAAAATTAAAATATCCCCTGCATAAGAGACAGTAAAATACCTCTACTCTGACATATTGTTGACCTAATTCTACCTGGCCAAGTTTCTTTCCATTGGCTGAAATTTTTTTAAAAATTCAATAACAGAGATTACTAAATAAGAAAGAAAATATGATATATTTATTTGTAATGTCACAACAATAAAGGAATTTTACTTGTGCATTAAAATTTTTTCTGAGAGGAGCTAGAGAATCAGGTTTTTAAAGTCAATTGTGAAACTGTTATACATTAGATTTAAAATGTTTCCACAAAGGCTCATGTGTGCAAGGTGACTGAATCTTAGGGGAGCTATGCTGACTTACTGTAATGTAGGATCATGGATGGAGCTGGGTCACCAGGGAGTGATCTAGAAGGGAATGCTCTTGTCCGTGACTCTTTC